AATTGCCTGAGATATAAAATATTCGATACTTATAAAAAACATGTAGAATTTTTATTAGTTTTCTCTGAAAATATCTATTTAATTTGCATAGATGTAATTACAAAGTACTTTAGAAATTTAACCGCGGTAGCTAAACTTAGAAATTAGATAGATCTGAGAAATGGATGTCGTCGGTTTAGGATTAACATTTCGTTTGCTCGGGCGTTCGTTGTATAATTGCGAGCTATCCAAGGTGATCAATGGTGTTCTCGTTCTTCACAAGGTAATTCGCGCTTATTCGTGAACTCGAGCGAAACCCGCGATATATCTTCCGCGATCACTATACTTTAGAGCAATTCCCGAAAATTGTGTGCGTTTCACACGGCAGACCGTTCATCTCTTCACACTGAAAGTCAATTCTACAACAACTTGTTCTAATTTTTTTATCATCTCCATTGGAGAACCGGTTAATATGCTAATGTCGTTACATATTAATCACCAATGTCGGCGAGTGTTCGATTGAAAACAAACTAATACCAATTGATAATAAATTTAAGTGACAAGGCTGCGGGCGACCTACAATCGAAAATATATCATGACTGCACAAATCCAGTTGTGTTAATTTTCTACGATAATATTAAGAATATTAATTATTAAAAATATTAGTAGAATCCGAATGATGTTTTGTACAATTATCTTGCACAATGATTATATTATGAAATAATTAGTTTGTGAAATAGAAATTAAAAATAAAAATTTTAAATTTATTTGGACAATAACTTTTTTTTAATGATTATTCTATTTATTAATATTTAATAATAATATTTTGAAATATACAGTTGTGCAGTTATCACTTTCTTCTATTATATACGTTGGACGTCGATACATGTAAATTGATAACACAATAATTATCGAGCGAAACGCATAATTAACAACTGAACTAATTAACGGCTGAAACGCATAAGACTCATTACGCTCGCGAAATTTCAAACGGCGCACGACGGATGCACTTTCGCGATCGAGTGACTTCGATTCCCGATTCGCACTCGGAGTTTGCTTAATACTCTCGTGACGATAGGTTATTTCGCAGATGCGAGTATTCTGCGTTTCGAAGAAAATAACACGATTAAACTAACTACGATACGCGCCGTTGAGTTGGGCGATAATAATTGCGGCGTGCGAAATATGCTACGGAATAATTAGCTGTACGCGAATGTCCATTTGCGTGAGATAAACCGACCTTAGCGGACTTTAATTTAGAGAAAGAGCCTAATGTACTTTCGAAAATTGTTTTCGCAGTTATATTATTATTACGGATTGAGGCTTCTAACTACTTCATGCTGCACAAGTTCGCTGTTATCTGATGAATTAGATGTTGTAAAACAAAGATATTTATTCTCAATAATCTCCATATTTCAGCAGAATATCGTTTTAATTAGTAAAACCACATTTTATCCACATCTATAAAATTCAATCATTCGAATACAATTGCATGCGAATATTATGAGCAGAAAATTTTCGAAATTGCATTATAATTGAGTCACTTTTACAATTTATTCGTTTATTATAAATGATATTATTCTACGTAAATTTACATAGAAAATGTACCGACATCAGTTTTATTATTTTAAGCGTGCCAAATTTTTTCATACTGTATTTTTCGATGGTTTTATCATATAAAACCATTGCTTTCCAAATTGATCCTAAATTAAGCAATGCAATATCACGTTTGCATTCCCTTGTTAATGAGATTTATATTTTTAAAACAACTTTTTATAAAAGCTTTACGTAATAGGAAAATGATATAGTCGAAAATAAATATTAATAAAATTGCGATTCTTGATAAAATTTTGATTATCCCGAAGTTTTTTTATTCTGTTCGCAAGTGTGTGCTAAATCTAATTAAAAGTTTTCCTCTTTTCGTCTTTAACATATATAGAATTATAATTATGAAATAATTTGTCAAAAATTCTAAATTATCTGACTGAAATAGTAATAGTATCGTTCATATGCTTGTTTCACACAACACATGTGCCGTAAAGCTCCGAAGTTTCGAGACTTATCAAATTGCACGCCGATGAACGGTCGCATCGATCCCAAGTGCAATTTAATTTACGAAATTCCCGTCGTTTCACAGAAACAAACGCGTTTCGCAGAAACGACGTGTCGTGGTTGACCCACGATCGACTTTTTGCGTTCCTAATGACAATCCCGCCGCATGGCAAACGACAAAATCAATTCAGCAGCGCGAAGGCAGGCGCCATGAAAAATCGTCGCCGGACTCGGTTCGCACGCGATATTTTTATACGTGTACACATGTACAAAAATATATTTGCCTCGCGAATGCGGAGGAAGCGCTCGCGCGTGCTCGCGCATCGCGCGGACACGGCGAAATGTATGCGCGCGGTGCATCATACACACGCGAGTACCGATTGGCGTGACGGTACGTTGCATTTGCGGCACGCGTGCCGTGATACCGGGTGTCCGCCGAGAAGCGCGGCTGATTGGCGCGTCCAAGCTGTAATTGGACGCCTGTTGTCGGTTCGCGTTTGATCGACGATAGAACGTGCGGAAAGAGCTCTTCGAGCGATAAAGGCCGGCGATTAGACCAGCAAATTCTGTTTTCTCTGAGTTTTACTTTGTCGCAGTAGTGTTGTAAAACAGTATAAAGAAGGTGCGATGAAACGTGTGTCACGTAGAATATTGAGAAGTTGAAAGAGAAAAATCAATTGTATGATATTGTAAGTTGAATGATTTAAATTATTTAGAGAGCAAGACTCTCGAACGTACTCGTCATCGTCCGGCGGCTTTATATTCTTTCAAACCCGATTGGAGCTTGACAGAAATGCATAAGTATTAGAAATTCCAAGTGTAATCCGGTTCAGACGAGAGAAAACGCAATATTAAATTTGATTATCGCAAATCAAATCATTTTCACGGTCTTCGATGACGAAATGTACGACAGAGCTTTTACTCAAATGAATATCGAATACTGTTTGCTAAATTAATGAACGAGCGAAAAACACAAGCTCGCGCTGGCGGGCATATTTCCGCGATGTTAAATATTTATTCAGGAAATTAACATCCGTCACAAATGCACACATATCGCATCGTACTATGGCGCGGCTCTGATAATTGTTTCGACTAGCATAAATATCATAATTTGTAAAATCCCGGTGATGATTTAACGCCGCATCCGTTGACGCTACGACGCTACAACGGCGTTGAAAATCTTTTCCACGGAGCCGACGGCGGCAGTTAGGCACGTCATGTCGGTGTGATAACAGTCAACTATTCGGCCTTTGGATAAGGAAACGAAAAAATTGCGTTATCTCTGTCTGTATCGCGAACCATTCTGGGGAGTGAAACGGAATTCTAACTGGCGTAATACAGCCTGAGACACGAAACCTAATATCTTCGAAATGCATTCTTTTGCGAAGGGATTATATAAGAATAAGATAATTTATTAATACGATACGCGATCTTTTCAATATACTTATCCTCTCTATTAGAAGAAACGCTAATTGAAAAAGCCCTTCTCATTTTTTAGCGGCATCGATAAAGCTTTCGCGACAATCTAGTAATCACTCATAAATAACACAAAGAGTAGCAGAGCTCTATATTATATTTCCATATGTTTTAATTCGCACAGAGCGTCCGACAGTAATATGCACATATATTTGTCCAGAACGACGAAAAAAGGTCAATTAATTAGATTAACACGTTCCGTTCCCAGGCGCGTGCAATTAAATCCTCGAGCATTCTGAAAAGCTGCGATAAATCTCTGGTAAGTGAAAAATTCGCGCGTTCCAAATAACAAAAGGAAAAAGAGAGATAAAAAATGCCATTCTTCTCGCAAATGCGGTCTTTCTCCCCGCTTTGCTGCGCTGGATAGTGCAAGCCGTGTCCTTCGAAAACCACCATGTCCGGTTACTCAATCGCACGCGATCCGCATAATTTCGCCTGCAACTCGTTGGAAGAATTGCATCCGCATCTCCGCGCTGCGAACACATCCGCGTACTTTTCTGCGCAACTTTAATCATCTACTCCATCATTTCCTATGACAAACGAATTGGTCGGGCGCATACGGCGGCGGCGGCGGCGGTGGCGGCGGCGCGCGCGCGCGTGCGTGAATTTGTGCAGCGAGCTAGATATCGTCATCCGCGGCAAATGCATTTCTCGTAACCCACGATTATGCAACCGCGATTATAAAACCGCGGGTCCACACTTCTTTTAGTGCGTACAACTACGATAGCGACAGTTTGTATTCAGAAAAGTGCGTCTCGATAAATTTATCGCTCAGCTCTCGATATATTGTATGTAGCACTAGATATATAATTATATTATTTAACGATTTAGAAATTATAGGTGGAAATTAAAAGTAGAAAAATTATTCAAATTTATATTATGCGTCGAGTGTGTTTATTTGCTGTTCAATAATTAACTTATCACAGCGTTGGAAAAAACTTCTCAAACTTGAAATTTCAGATTTTCGAAAATGTTTCATCGGCCAGCTAATGAATACACCATAAGATATATAAAATATTAGCAAAGAGAGAATATTGACATTAAGAGCCGCAGTTGTTGGGCGCGCAAATAGTATTTACATAAGTCCAAATTTTATCCGAACAAATTAATTAGTCAATGACTGGACCTAAATTAAATTGATTGATTGACAGAGATTCTAATGAACAACGAATGGAAAAATTGAAAGAACAAAGAAAAATATAGATGAGAAAAATATCAGGTGGTTCTTAAGTATCAGTATTCTTGCGCAAATCCTACAGAGCCTGTTTTACTAAAAAACTAATAAAATGTTATTTATCATTATTTAGTACGTTTAATGTTGACAATGACGTGTCAATATGTTTAGATTCCTTCGTTTGATCATCGAGAGATTATCGATCCGAAATCGATCCCACAAGCATGTGAGCTAATATTGCACGCCTGTTTATCTTGCTGAAAGCAGCACTTTCACACACAGGTCCCGGATGACCGGTGCACATCATTGTTTGATGTAGTTGCGGTGGTGTCGCAGGTCTGGAACGGGTAGCGGAGGAGTTGATGGGCCGTAGGAGATGGAAGCATTACCAGGACACCCTGTACAGCGGCACCCGCAGCAGCGAATCAGCGACGGCACAGCCCCACCATCGGCTCTACCCGGCGTTGTCGTCGTCCTGCAATCCGATACCCGGGAGCCTGGACCAGATTGGGCCGCAGCTGCATCATCCGGTACCCTCGTCGTTGCCCCCGTCGGCGGTGGCGTCGACGGTGCTGACGACGGCAACGACAACGACGACGACGACGGCGGCGACGACGCTCGCAACCGGCGTTGTGAAGCAGGAGAGTCTGCAGAGGCATCACCTGCAAAATCACCATCATCTGCAAACGTCGGATCATCATCCGCAGCCGGAGGATTCGCGCCGTCTGAGGCCGGGCGAGATCAAGGTCGAGGCCGCCGACGAGGAGCCCGCGGACGGTGTCGCGCGGGAGGACACCTCGGCGAGAACGGCGGATACGGCGACGTCGGCGACGACGACAACAGCGGCGACGACGACGACGACGACGACGGCGACGACGACGACGACCATCGGTGTTGCAACGACCACATCGTCAACGACAACGGCGACCGGCACAACGACGATAGCGACGAGACGGCGACGTGGACGCCGGCAGAACGACGGGGAGGACGCCGACGGGGAGGAGGACGGCGACGAGAACGACGACGAGACGGGACGGAGTCAGAACGAGGCGGAGAAACGGCTCAAGCTCGACGAGGACGCCGACAGGTCGGCGGCCAGCCCTCTCAGAACGGAAAACGATCGTGCGACTCGGGATCATCCGACTGCCAACGCTACCGACACGGAAGGGACCAAGGTCGGTATAAATCTCTTCTATAGAATAATGGTTTTTTTTTCTACAGCGAAGGAATAATTGAATTTATTTACTTGAAATAATGAAAAATTTTATAATAATTTATAAAAAATTGAAGCCGTCGCACTCGTGTTTCTTCATTTTTCGTTTCCTTTTCCGTTTAGGAACGAGCGGAGGAAATCACGTTGGAGCGGGCACCGGTAACGCAGGGCTTATTGAGGGTAAAGAAAGAGGAGGAACTGCAGGAGGTGCCGGGTTCTGGCGGCGGTACGACGATATTGACGACGCCGGCGACGGAATCGGAAGGGACCAGGTCGGGGCTACTATGCCGCGAGGGGAACGCGACCGCGACGAGTGCCGCGGCGCCGTTTCTCCTTGGAAGACGCAGGAGCCCGCCGCCGGAGGACTGGAAACCGCTCGACAAGTGTTACTTCTGCCTGGACGGCAAGCTACCCCACGACGACCAGGCGCCCCTTGTAAGTATCTGATCGGTGCGAGTCGCGCATGACTTGAGCATCGATTCTGTCCTTCATCACTGATCTTGCATAGAGATTATCCTCGAATACTGTGGTCGAATAAACAAATAAATAAATAAAGTAACATTTCTCTGGAAAATTTGGATCCGAAACCTACATCGCAAGAGAAATGCGATTGGATCTACTTGGATGAGATATAACTTCGGTTGACTCGACGATAATCTTGTCGATAGTTTACTGAGACGTAGATCACACTAATATCTGCTCGTTTTGCCTTGTCACTTATGCAATCCCGTCATCGGAATCTTGTTTCACCCTCGTTTCATACACCTGTTGTGCCTCTGCGAGCGCGACTCAAGTCTGACCTAGCCTTTTGCCGCTTTTGATTAAGTCGAGCGTACTTGGGCGCCGACCGCCACACCGCCAACCTCTCTCTCAGCTTTGATCACTTTGACGCGTCCATAAAAGATTCACGAGGACTCGCGAAGACTTCGGTGCGCCTTTTGAAAGATGAATTCGATCAGAATTCGATCCCGTTGCACCGCGTTTCCTCGCGGATCCTCACTCTCTCCCCCTGGTATCCTTTTCGCCGTCCTACCAATCCAGCCAGCCGTCCTTTTCGCCGGAACGGCGAATCGCGCGAGCCGGGATGACACGTATCTCCGCGTTGTGCAGAGTCCGCAGAGCGACAGTAGCAGCAGCTCGCGATCGGCGGAGTCACCGATGTCGGTCCAGGTGGACCCGATGGCGGCATCCATGGTCGCTGCCGCCCTCAGCGGCACTTACCCCACTTTGCTGCCTCAATGGTGCTTACCGCCGAGGGAGGCGCCCCTCGTTGGGGTGCAGGCCCATCAGGACAGCTCCGCGGCAGCCGATCAACCGCTCGATCTTTCGGCCAAACCCAGAAATTCTCAGGTAAGTCTGAGACCGCTCTCGTTTTATCGCGTGTGCAAATACGCACTCTTTCTCGATTTTTCTCTCATCGTTTTTCTGTTTCACAATGCTCACTCAAATCATTTCTCGGATATTTATTTCACGATTCGCAAGTCATTCGATGAAAGATCGTGCAACGGTGAATAATAGACGAATTATCGATTACGCATACTATTTAACGGATCATTACGATACAGTCATCTCATTTTCATGAAGATCGCTGTTTCATATACTGCTGGATAATATAATTCCTCTCACAGTGTTTTATTAACGCTTGTCAGTCGTGTAATTAAGTGACTAATGCTGACGTCTAAGTAACTAAGCCGTATGCTTCCGTATAATATGAATTATTTATTTATTTGTTTACGTCCCTTGATCCTTCCTTATATTAATATCATAATCTATTCGTTTGTTCAGGACAACAACATATCTCTACTGGAGCAACAGAAAATACCTCTGAGGATGCCGACAGGCATCGATCCCAAGAGTATCCTCAAGTAAGTAAATTTTTAATATTTCTTCAATAGCGAAACGATATAGGAAATTCCTTATTCATTGATTTAAACATAAAATACAGCGTGAATAAAATTCAAACGAACAAAAATTATTTACAAAGCAAATAGCCGCGAACAGAAGTGAAAGTTAGAATTCCGATAACTAATTTTTATGTAAAAATTATATTTTTATTTAAATTTTTTAATTAATATATATATATATTTCGTAAACCACGCCATAAATTTTATTATTTTCCGATAAATAACCTGTTATTAAAATATTCTAAAAAAATATGGAAAATATTGATCTATGCTTTTTAGTTTATTCTTCTTTGTTACCAAATTTAGAAACACAATGTGAAACAAAAACGCTACAATAATTAGAATCTAAACTCTCTAAACTGCATATTAAAAATAAAAAGGGAGAAAAATTTGGGTAGAAAAGAAAAAAAAACGAAGGCAAAACCGTACGAATATTCGGGTTCGACGAGAGAGTGTGTCCTCCTCGACGCGCTTGGAAAATCGTCGCGCGCCAACAACAGCGCGTCGTTTCTGCGTTATCGCACAACTCTCGCTTTACACCTCGAGGCGAGCCGCTGATACGAATATGCATTCCGTACGAATGGGGGAAAAAAAGAATACGACCCGCGATCGCATTCCGTAGCGAACATTCCTCGTGATCGAGTGGCCGTTTAAGCCGGCCGGGAGCGCGTTTCGATAAGGCGTCGATTAAAACGCCGTCGGCAAACGACTTTCGAAAATCGCGAAACTGACAGCCAGTCGATCCGGAATACCGTCGCAATTAGGTGCCAATCACGCGACCGGGCATAACCGTGATTTATCTCCCTCGTAAAGACGTCATAACGCGACAACAGCGGTGGGGAATCGTATCGTTCGAACGACACTCGTTCGGCCCGATCAAATTCGCGTTTGTGCGCTGCATTTTCGGACGTGTGCGGAGGAATGTACGGAATAAATTTGGTAATTGATGACATAACTGAAATCTACGAGATTCTTCTTGCCACGAGATTAATCGGTTCGTTCGTCCAATCAGTTTTTCAGATTGCATTTTTTGTTATTCATAATTAACGGAATTATTTCCAGTCATCTCTTTTTGTAATAAAAAATCATACATTTGCCGAATGCACCACTGATTGTTAAACAACTTTGTGCTGCATTGCGTGTACGTGAACAATTTAAAAGTCTCCGTATGCATTATATTTACAGTAAAAGGTAAACAGGGTTATAGATAAAGAGCCATTGTTATCAGAATCTATGATCGCGGCGAAGCTCAAGTTCGCTGGTTGAACTTGGAAGTGCGCGCTCCATTGCATGGAACTTAATAACGGTATTGCGAATCTTTGACGATTATCTTAGACATGTTCTAATCTCACAGTTATAGACTCTGAGTAAGTTCTAAGTAAGATAACAGCACTAGGATTAATATCGATACAAAGACGTGGAAACATGCGACATTTTAAACTTTCCGAATCAACGATATTTAATTAAAAATTTACAAAACCCGTTTCTCCTATTGATTTGTACAAAACTAGCTTCATGTTTAAAACAAAAATTTTAATTATAAGTATAATCGAATTCTCGTCTATCGTGAATGGACTCTCAATTTTCCGCGCGGTTGCGATATTTTTCTCGCGATTCTGGGCTATCAAGCGTACGGTGAAATGACGATAATTCCAATAGCTTGAAAAGAACTTGTGCACATCGGGACAAACAACGTCGCATTAGATATCCGACGCTACGTCCACGAACCGTCAATTTGTATTTATACTACAGTAGCTTGAAAAGGTGACTGCTAACTCGCCGACTGATAAGTCATCTGCTTGCAAGAAACTCATATTTCGCTCGTTATATTGAATCATGTCATCGCGTGTCAATTTTATTCACATGTATAGTAATCTTGTCAATATTACAGTAAATGGAAAGAGATGTTGTATTTCAAAATATGATAATTTATCACATTTCATCTCCGCAGATTGTGTGTGGCGGTTTTTCGAAAATGGATTTAGGAAAGATTTAATTGGATTTAGTAGACAAATATAATTTATTTTCCGATTTTAAGAATTTTATTGCTTTAATTTTGAATAAATATTTAATTATAAGAAAATAAGTGGCTCCATAATTTATGTCAAATAATATTGCACTTATCATTATCAAGAATGTTGAAAATTGATAATTTACTGCAAATTGCAATTACTTTGTGAAATATGACATTCAAAAGTTTGTAAAAGTTTTTTGTAAAAAAATTTCAACAGTATTTTCTTCACGTAAAAAGAACATCCTGACTTTCAATTAAACGTTGTTCGACGGGTCGCTTATTGCATGGTTCCCATCCATAAATGCTTAATGTATCGCGCTACAGTTTTAAACTGCACGAAAAAATTTCGTTGTACGATCGCGGTAAACAGTCAGTACCCTCGAAACCGTAATAATACCGAGTTGCTTGAACTTTTCAACCCTTTGAGCTTTAAACTGCTATACGTCTGCGGTACGTACCTCGATAAATATTTAAGCAGTGCGTTTCACAGAATCGATGCAACTCGGTTGCGGTCTCGAATACAAAACATGATAGAATAAATTTCGTAAATTTATCCGCACGTCGGAATAAATGACAATAAAGGAGGAAGAGTTTTACACATATTTCATTCCGCCTTTCTATTATGAGAAAGTTATCGGATGGATTAATTATGATAATTTTGTATTTATATATCGATTCTCTTCCGCGTACGATTCGTGACAAAATTTCTAGAGAAATTTGACAACGGGTGAATATTGAAAGAATCTTGGATTTTTTAAATTTTTGTGAATTATTCAAGTCTAATTTTTTTGATCACATTAGTGTATATCAGATTCATGAAAGTTGTACGCGTTTTAATAATCGACGAGAGTATAAATTTAATTTGTGTTTCCAAAAGTTAAATTCCTTCAACTACTGGTAATTAGCGAACGTCGTGGTCAACTTTTATTTTTGTTGCGTAATTTATGAAAAATGATCGCCGGGCGAATTGTGCGAACAGAAGAGTGTCAGATCATCGTGCAGAAACATCGAAGGCGTACATTGCCCCTGTGTTTTTGCTGTTTTCCCCTACGGAACATTTTGCGCGTCAAATTTTTATCATTGTCTATAATTAGTCCACCGTAATCTGCACCTCCTGATATATCGAAGACGCGGTGTGTCGCGGCGCGTTGCAAGGAGTGTGAAGAGAGACCAGAACTCGAAGTGAGAATGATAAAGAACGAAGGAGAGAGCATAGCATAGGGTACGAACGAGCGAAGAGGGACGCGGGAGGGAGAAAAGATTGAAGGGGGAAAGAAAAGAAAAAGCCGAGAGAAGTTCGCGCTAACGCATGCGCGACGGCGTAATTAGCGATAAGATAGGACCGCGAACGAAACGGAGGCGAAATTAAAACCTAATTTAGAGCACGCATATCTCGGCTTTTGCGTTGATATTTAATGACTGGACCGAGCGGAACTAATGAAGCGGATTTAAAGTTGTATTGCAACAATAAATACATACATAAAAAACGGAATCAGCGCGATTTAAATAATTAATTATGCAAAAAATTGTCGTTTCTGGAGATAATTATGATCTTTAAAAGAGACGCAAATCGATCGGACGTAAAGAGTGCCTTTGCCGCGGTATGTCGCAAGCAAAATTGGACGTACAGTTCACACATGCGTGTTCTCAATACTGAAAACTAGGCGAGCCGCAATAAAACCAGACAGGGATATTGAAGTAAAACCGGTTCGTAGAAGGCTTTGGAGAAGGTTTGCCAAAGAGCCAGCGCTGTGAAGGACAAGATTACGACTATCTGGTTCGCGATTGCGTGTGGCTTGTAATTTATGCGAGAATTTGCCGAACCATCCAGTTCGATCATGAAACTACGTCTTCCGGCATTGTTTGTAAACAGATTGATTGAAGATGCTTGTATGTGTTTTAACATTAATTGATGCCGACTTCGCTAAAGATTTCTTATTGTGCTTTCGATAATTTTACGAATACATTATTGCTAGTAGATATTTTGTTCTTATAAACTCTGATAAATATTTATCTCCTGCGGTTAAATATGCATTATCACGTCGTTTTATTTAGCGAATGTATACCGTTTTCTTTAAAATTATATGACATTGCTCGAGGAACGTTGAATCTGAGACGCGCATGGACTGTGCGTCGACCGAATTTTTCATGCCGTCGGACGTAGCGCGTATTGTCGCGTAAAACCGCAGACAAGTCGACAAACAAAAATCGCAGATAAATCAGCGCCGGTCGATGACTGACGTAGCGGGACCTATCCGGGAGACCAACGTCGGACGAAATGCACTTTTATCAGCGTCAACAGCGGCGCAGGTCGACGAACTTGCTAGAGGGCTCCTCGGTGCATATGCAAGCGGGGGTGGGACGATGAAGGGGGGGTACAAAGCTCACGATGATTTCTTACGCCTAATCTTATCGTTGCACTCTGTGACAAATTACACCGGTCCGATACTCATCGCCTTCGTGCTAACATCGAGTTTTTCTTTTATGCGAGTACAAATTATTGCCTTTGCGCCGAAATTTTTCACTCTTTTTTTTTACTTATTTAACGCGGACTGAAATAACATATTTTATTATTATTAGAAGGATTAAGAAAATTAATTATTAAATTGTACTCCAAAAAATAGTACCAGAAATTATTTCTTGATTACCGGTAGTACTTTTAGATTTTAGATTTTTTTAATAAAGAAATTTAATAATGAATTATTCATTATTATACATATTGGCGTTTAAAATATATTATGCTCTCTAAACAAAAATAGTTTTATTAGTTTAATATTAGACAACTGTTAAATCTTATTTTTATCTTTTTTTTTTTAAGTCTGGAAGCGCTTTGATAAAGAAAAATAGTAAATGCTGTATAATAATATCTATTTTTGTAAGAAAGAAAATACTAAATGCAGAAGTTTGACGTCACAGACACAGACGTCATAGATGCTTTAGAAATAATTTGTTTCGACGAAATTATTGTTTCGTAAATATAAAACATGTTTTAGTAATGTACAGCGTGTTCAGAATTGCGACATAAAAGTGTATGATTGCGGCAAAAAAAATTTCGACAAACAAGTATTAAAATTATTAATACATGTATGTCTTCCGGCAATATCAAGACGATGATGTGCGTTGTTTTTCATCTTGACGTAAATCTTGTTTATCTGACATGAATAAATTACGCATTTAAAGAGACGTGAAGTGCTTGAATATATAACATTTTTCTCGGCCGTAAATTAATTAGGTAGCAATGCGCGAGATTATCAAGTTAACAGATTTTTCAAATTGTTCGTTGAAAAGACGCGATTTACACGATTCAATGTCTTCGAGCTATAAGATCAAAGTTATACGGATTTGTGATTTACCGTGGACATCAAACACGTGCGACCGACGGAACGGCCACGTGGCCGTTTAATACGGATCACCTCTCGAGTTGGCCCAAGAGACGCGAACACACGTGAGCTGGCATTGCGAGAAGCGATGGATAATCTGACTTTGTTATGCGGTCCGGTTTGAGCGAGTATCGATCGCGTCTATTGGCCGACCAATTGTTAAACCACGGTCTCTTGGTTACCTGCTTACGACAATGTTTGCGGCGAGATTCAACGCAGGCTATGTTTCAATTAGTATCCGTTTGTTTCGCGATAATTTTAAAGTAAATGTAAATGAAAGCTTTTAGAGAAATATTGTATTGCGTTTTATCAAGGTAGATAAAAAACAATTTTCGAGTTATTTTGTTCGTAATATCGATGTTCTCGAGTAGTGGTTGTTTTTTAATGTCTTGTTCATTTCTTTCTGTTCACATGCGGATTTTGAAACCAGAATTAATTCTTTGACGTTAGTATATATGACAAATAAACGAGATCTGTTATGATGATTGACGGATACTTATAGAAGCTGTCTTAGAAATCATGGACAGCGAAACGGAAAACCCGCGGGGTACAAAAATATGTTTTCCTAACAAAAGCAATTGACAAGCGATGTGAATTCCAACGATTTGTTTCTGCCACACGACATCTCTCAATACTTTATAAATATCTGCGGTACAGCGAAGGTATACGAGAGATGCGATATATTGGAAACTTGACTCGCCAAACGTACAGCCGAGCGCATTTTTATCCATGCACGCCGTCCCGAAATTACGTTTTCGAGACAGCTTCCAGTCACCAGAATTGTAGGCAAAAATGCCATTCAGTTGGCCTCGATATAACGTTGATTAACGCTGTTTCAGCTCGTGTTACCGCGCGAAACCGCGAATGACCGGACCCGTTGCGGCCGCGGCGGCGGCGGCCGCGGCGGCTGTGGCAGGCGTCGGTGGTGTTCCAGTGGTGGGTGCCGGGGGCGGCAGGAGGACTTACACCGAGGAGGAGCTGCAGGCCGCCCTCAGGGACATCCAGAGCGGCAAGCTCGGCACGCGGAGGGCGGCGGTGATCTACGGGATACCGCGTAGCACCCTGCGCAACAAGGTCTACAAGCTCGCGATGGAGCGCGAAAGGGACGCGTCCCTGACTAGCACCCATTCACACCCTCACGAGCCCGGCGCCCCAGCCACCACCACCACCACCATCACCACCACCACCACCACCACTACTACTACAACACCACCAAATACGACCCAAAACGCCTCCGCGACCACTCCGCCCCCGCAAGTGGACGAGGTAGGTTTTGGGGACAGAAAACGGAAGATAGTTAGAGATCTGAACAGAGAGCAAGAGAGAGAGAGAGAGAGAGGGGGGAGGCGCAAAACAAAGAAAAAAAGGAGAGAGAGCAAGAGAGAAGGCGAGATGCAGAGAGCGGGGGGTTGGAAACGTGCCATTGACACGTGCCGAGGTCTCGTCAGTCTTTCACGCGTGTTGGATAGAAAAGCCGAGGATGCAAATTGGCATAGACAGGGACGGGGGAAATCTTGTGAGGGAGTGATGTGACGAGGCGTTTTCGTCTACCGAGATAGTTGAAGCGACGCGCGAAGACGCACCATCCTCTTATCTCCGTAATTTTCGTTGCTGATGTCCGTTGATTTTCATTCGGAAGCGAGTCGATGGCGCGACAAAGTGATTTCGGAATTGCTCTGTTGACTCGTTTCAAATAACGCGGAACGTCGATGGCCCCGTAATCTTCGGGGGATCCGCTGTGAGTGCCTGACAATCTAACGTAGATTTTTTATTTTTATTTATGTGCGAAGTAGACTATACTAATCAATAAGTTATAAATATAATATAAAAATGAATATTGTGTTTGTCGTAGTAATATGATCATCGAAAAAGTAAATCAGACCTTTGATCTAACATATTAAGAAATAAATATATTTGCACACGTTTCTAGATCGCAAAATGTTTCAGTTGTAAAAGTATTCAAAATACATTGAAATCTTAGAAGTGTACAGATGGATTAATTCAATTTAAAATCATTTGTCAACATTAGAATTTTGTCAGGCATTCGAGAGATCACGCACGATTTTCTTTTAACTAAAACTTTAAGTCCGCGGGCAAGAAATAATTCTCTATTATTTAAATACACGGCAAAAAGCAGGCCGCTTACCATGCAGAGAAACGTGGCAGGGTGGGAAACCGAATGATGCACGAAGGAATTCTTGTCGGGAAAAAGTTCGCGAATACATATTCCATTTGTATCTAAGTGTGGTTTTGGTTAGGAAGAACGAATGAAACTTCCCCAAAACATACCTCTGGCACGGCGATCGCGGATTTTGCGTGGACCGACCGTGTCTTGTATCGCGAAACGACACCCGGTAGTCGCCAAAAATTCGGACTCGGTCGATCGTTCAATTTGAAATTCAATTTATTATACATTGGTTACGATAGTTTCGTCACAGATTAGTTGCGATAGTTGTGAGATTTTTTGCTAAACTCTGCACTTGCTAATGTATGAATTTGAACAAGATTGTTAAATTATTATTTATACATTTTCTTTTTTTTTTTTTTTTTTAATTACATTTTTTATATGCTCTTAAACACTTTCACAAACCGTTAAAGAATTCTTACGAGTTGATAAATTTCCGTTTTCTTTTTTTTGAAAAAGTTTAAAGTTTAAAGTTTTCTTACGTTATGGATGAATCGGAAATAAAATGACAACGGTATCGACCTAGTGCGAAAGAATGTTGACGGCAACTGTGCGTTTGTTCGATGACGCTGGAGGAAAGGGACGATGGTCTACGCGGCTCCGCACCGGTCGCCGTGATGCTCAGTAGTGTCCAGTGTTTTTTTGCATGGGCTGTTTAACTTTTTTTATCTCACTATTTGTAGTTTAACACACGGCAACTTGGTGTCCGCGAGGTTGCAAGACTCGAGGTAAGTTTTTGGGAAGATCGTGTCGAGACGAAAGGAGGATCTGTCCGGGCTCGATCTTTCTTTCGTCCCTTACGGGCGCTTATGGCCGCGCCTCGAAAATTAATGGTCGTGAATGTACGCTTCTGGACCTCGACACTCTGCATCCTCGATGTGCCGCGCATTACAACCCTCTGCGTAGAGACGTCCAATCAAATAGTTGTTCCGAAATAGGCGGATTGCAATTTCAGTGCGAACGCGCTGTCATGCATGAAACAGTCGCGCGATCGAAGATTACGGCAGATTAAACACGGTGGCCCGATTTAATCCTCATCACCTGATAGTGTCTTTTGCCTTGATTCTCGATTTGATTGCGATTAATTTTGCTTAGCGTGTTATAGCACAGGAATCGATCGCAATTAGATAATTGAGAATATTCATGTTGAAGTACAAGAATCTCCGATTTAATTTAGAAAAGCTTCGTGTAGTATTATTTTTCCGCGAATATTAAATGAAATTTGTATCAAAATTTTATTTAGAATTTGAAATGGCATTTTTGTTAGAAAAAAAAGAAAACAAGGTCGAAAGATACTATCGTGAGAAATTAAAAAATTTCAGGGCGTTTACTGCATTATTATACGAACGTATAGTATTTTCTTAGTTGGTAAAATAATATCCTAAGTTGCGTTTACCACGTCGTATATTGCATTTTCTTTTTTATTTATAATTGCATTGCACGGTCTGTTAGTTGTAATAGTTGCTGTTCAAAATTGTCTGCCGACTAAACATCGCCTCAGCATGAACACTAAGAGACGCTATTTTACGGTACAACTTGTCGAGCTAGCAAGCACGGTCTATGCACGAGAACGGTTAAAGTCTCATTTTTCGTGCCTGCATTTCGTGCGATCGCACACCGCGCGTTTATATACACAGCAACCATCATAGAAGACTGTTGCTTCACTTTTAGTGCAATGCATGCGCCTTTAAACGAGCCTCGAGTGGTATCTCTGCACTTGAATTCCGGCGTATCTCGTCGAAACGCACGCCGAAGATAAGTTTTTTTTCTCTTCGCGAACTCTGCCCGCTTTTCCTTCTATCAGGAACTTGCAAGGAAAAGATAGCCGCAATCATTATTATAAGGGGTGCCTGTTGAAAACGTTGAGGACGTAAAATACTTGCTGCTTTTTTTTCAAGTATATGATCTACTGATTAGCAGCTCTCCTGCATGGCGCTTGGCTATTTTACATTTAATTGAGACATATGTACTCGGTGATTCGCGCAAAGTGACCCATATTTATATATTTAATTATACGAGCAACTTTTTTTTAAATAAAATACATTAAAACTTTTATGTCAAAACTCATGAAAAAGTTTTATAGCGTCGTTTTCGAGATCTCTAAAAATAATATCCTCAAAATAATTAAAACTTGCACGTGATTCTTTTTACGCGAAAGCGCCTGTTCTCAAAGCTAAAGCACTGTTTCCTGCGTTTTTCTCTATTTTAATATTTTTTTAAAATATGCAATGCGGTCACTTTACGGGAAACACTTTGTATATATTTACATGGACAATTGAATCTACACACGATACAGATACACATACATTCCAGACACACACCTCTCGACGAAGCACTCTCGAACAAAAAGTTGTCATTTACAAGCAACAACGGTTGCTTAATGACTATCGATGATAAGAAAAGCACCGCTTCTATTCACGTCTCCATGGAGAGACGGAGTAAAAGCTTCTACTTTTACTTTCCTCGAGAGGACAACTTGACCGTAATCTGCAATTTAGATGCTCTTTCGCGAGCAAGGAGTATGCAGAAAACGCTAGAAAAGATGTTTTTAACAGGTGGACGACAAAGAGCTATCCGGTGCGGAAGAGGAAAAGGAAGTTGAGAAGGCCCTGCTGAAGCCTCTGCTCTCGTTGGAGGATCTCGTGAGGTTCTCCGCGCTCGAGGGAACCGGTGGCGATTCCCTCAGGAACTTGCTGCAACGGGGCCATGAGGCAGGGGCCGAATGGCCGGGACTGGAACACGCGAACATCGGTCCTTACATTCAGAAGATGTTGGCTGGCGTTGCACCATTAGGTATGATAAATTATCTGTTATTATCGAAATTATATATCATTACGAAATTGGTGTACGAATTACCGATTAAAATTTGATGTCTTTTTTACTCTAAAGATTGCAATTTTCGGCTCTTATTGTTAGTTCTTGCTTTCACTAATTATATCATGGTTCTTTAATTATATTTATTATATTTAGTATTATGAATTGGGCGAGGAATAAATATCGTGCATTAAATTAGCTCCTTTTTGAGTAAGGAGTTGTACTATGTCAGTATTCGAAAATTGGGTCGTTTCTGACAGGCACTTGTTTACTTTGTTCACTGACCAGCCAATTTGCATGAAGAGACGAAAGCCGAAAAGTGTATTACGTCGCGATAGGACTTCTGGAATCGATAGAAGCCAGGCTCCAGTCAGTAGCTTGTCGATATTTTTTTGTCTTTAAAAGTAGTAACTTAACTGCTGCAACTTAATTAGCTGAAGCTTAACTTAAATCTGCATCTACAATTGCGACAAATGCTTGAGGAAAAATAAAATATTACAGAGGCAATTATGAGGCATGTGTTGAAGTTATAATTACATCGACATCTTTCTTTGGATTATTTGCTCCATTCATCTTGATTAATATGCATCTATATTTTTTATACATTAAAGAAATTTATACGTATATAATATTATATAATGTAATATAATATTTTAGTATTCGTTAGCAGTTATCAGTAACTATTCTATTATACAAACATTACAATGAATAACATTTTCTAAACTCGTAGGCATAGAGACGCGAGACTATCGCATACCAGATGTGGTAAGGAAGCTGATGAGTGAGGACAAGAGGCTGAACAAGAATGTGAACGGAGACCAATCGCAGCCGCACCACCAGTCGCATCACCATCAGCAGCACCATCCTCTCGCCGCGCATCAGACGCAGTCGCAGCAACAGCAGCGCGCGCCCATGACGAACGATGACTTCAATCCCAACATCGAGGAGGAGGCCAGTGACAGTGCTCAAGGCAGAGCGATACTGAAGATTCCGTCCTACAAGCCCGCCAGCACGCCGGGCTGTTCCAGCAAGAACGGCGAGCCGACTTCCGCCGCGTTTGCCCAGAGCTTCGCGGCTGCCGCCTCGAGTCCGGGCCTCCTGGAACGAGCCAGTCCAGCGTTCTCCGGCACCAGCAGTCCCACGAACTCGCTGGTGGGCAAAGCGGTGGCCGTCAACTTCCGCGATGTCATCGCCAAGAGCATCAGCGTCAAGTTCCAGGAAGGCCAGACACCGGGCGCGGCCGGCATGCCGGGCTGCCAATCGGCCGGCGCCGTTTCGTCGCAGCAAGCCATGATGACGGATCCGAGTCCGTTCAAGAGGGGCCGTTACACACCCCCGCAACCGCAGCAACAGCAGCAATCGGCATCGCAGCAGCAACAGCAGCAATCCAAACAACAAGCGCAAGACGCGAACAAACCGAAACCGGGCACCGGCGGCAAGGGCACCAGGCCGAAGCGCGGCAAGTACAGAAATTATGACAGGGATAGTCTCGTCGAGGCGGTGCGTGCAGTCCAGCGCGGCGAGATGAGCGTGCATCGTGCTGGCAGCTTTTACGGAGTTCCGCACTCCACCCTTGAGTACAAAGTCAAGGAGCGGCATCTCATGAGGCCGCGAAAGAGGTAAATAGATTCATCTTTGATAATATATTTCCGTTTTAATTTTTGTGATAAACGTAGTATTTATATGTAAAAAAATTTTGGGACTTTCTCTCTTTTTAACTCTAAAAACACACATTACGGATTGTTAGAAAAATAAAAAAAAAATGATAAAGAATTAAGAATTCTAATACGAGCTTTTTTTCTTTTTCTCACAGGGACCAGAAGCAACCGGACGACAAATCGAAGGAGACCGCGACGACGGCGGCGGCGGCAGCCGCGGCAATGCGACCGAGCGCTACCGGCGTCGACAAGAAACCGCAGTTGAAGCCGCAGAAGCCGTTTACACCACCGGGCGGTATACCCGGTCCGAACGGACTAAAAATGCCCCCGTTTATAGAGGGCATGCCCCACCTGCCATTCGGGCCCTTCAACTTCTGGAACCCGACGCCCTTCATGCCCTCCCCGTTCATAGGTGGCGCGCCGAATGTGCCGATTTTGCCAGAGCAGTACTTTGCGTCGCAGAGGATGCGCGGATTGCAGGAGCAACAACGAAACGCAGCGATCGTACAGCAGCATCAGCAACAGCGAGACCGAGACGGGGTTGGCGTATCCGGGACAACAGACGCGGCCGGAACCTCGAACTCTCGAAGCACGCCGATGGTGAAAACGCCGCGCGACATGGTGGAGAGCATATACGACGGGCCCGGGGCGAACGGTAGTTTTCTGGACAATCTGATCAGGTCGAGCCTCGAGACAGGCATTCCAAGGGACCAGCGGGCGTTAGCGGAGGCGAGGACTCAGCAGCAGCAGCAGCAGCAATCGTCGTCGCAGCATCCGGAGACGATGAGCAGCAAGACGCTGATCGACCAGCTCTGCAGAAACTCGAGGAGAACCCCGCTGCCGCGGATGGCGCAGGACAGCAGCGAGGATGAGAGTTATCGAGGACCAGCGGGCAGGATGGTGCCGGAAAGGCCGGAGCGCGTGCCCACGGTCGATCTCAGCCCGTCACCGTCGGAGAGGGGTCGCACGGATGACGGCAGCGATCGGCTGACATCACCGCCGACGCCTCTGTCGATCTCCCGAGCGGGTAGCAGGGACGAAGACAGCACCCGTGACTCGAGGATCGATCGCAGCAGCAGAGAGCGCGAAGTGCATAACGGTGGCCAAGAGGATCGCGACCGAAAGCAGCCTCTGAGCTTAACGCAGCAGCAGCAGCAACAGCAACCACAGCTGAACCACTACCCGGATATACACAACCTCTACGCCGTATCAACTGACAAAAAAAGTGCCTGTGATAGTAAGCTTATAGTAGATCATTCGAGCCAGAAGACTCAGCCGCAGCAACAGCAAAAGGAGTACGCTGCCGTGAGCGGGCTGGTCGTGCAGCTGCAGAGGGGCTACAACACCGGGAGCAACAGGTCCGGCGAGCCGACTAACAGCCAGCAACCGGCGGCGGAGCAGCGCGGCGCCGCGCTCAGCATGGAGGACTCCGTAGAGCAGTAGACGAAAGTCAGTATCAGTTATCACTAAAGTTATGAGTACAGTAAAGAAAAAAAAGACCCGTATACAATAAGCCCACATTCCCGCCCAAGATCTTTCCGCCATCTCTCACACCACCGCACACACCGATCCCGTGCGCCTTCTCTCGTTGTTGCGCGCCGCGAACGGGGCTTCCCTTCGCGCTCGGTCTCTGAGAATCCCGAAATTTTCAGTGCAAAGAGACGATGTAAGAATCGAAGGGGATTTCTCGCGTCGAATGATCGAATTCGATGCGGCGGTGTTTCGCAAGGAGCACAAAGACGAAGGGAATCCTCAGATACGTCGCCAACGCGATAGTACAATATTCCACCTAACCCACCTGCTCCCCCATGACCTCTCCGTTTCAATCGGAAAAAAGAGAACTCTCGAACGTTGCGAGGCAAGTCTTAGTGCAGGAGAATTGAAAAGAAAAGAAGTGGCAACGCATGATGCTAGCACAACCAACCATTAAACCCACTGCGATTCCGCCAGTTAACGCATACCCGCCGTAACGAATCCGCGTCCAGCTGGCCGCGGCCCGGCCAAACTCCCGGCATCCAGGCGCGCGCGCGCAGGAAACCCTTTCGATCATGACGAAAGTACATTGCGGAGAATACAGGACGAAACAGGATAAAGGACACGCGCGATATGTTCATCGTGCCGAGTGCTCACACGCGACACGCTTTAGCATATGCACTCTATCCATTCTAACAGCGTTTCTACAAGCCGGACATTCCACGAGACTCTCTCTCACACACAGCGACACACACAAATACAGATCGACACACAATATACACAATACGAATTACATATACGCAAGTATACAAAAACGGGGAACACATAACGAGATACTTAGGCGTTGCGCGTCGTCACACGCGTCGTCGCACGGCGTTGATCGTGATTTTATCTTCGCTGTACCATCGAAACTACGTCAATCATACCGCGAACTCCGATTTTAGCGCAAATCCATCAGCGCAGTATTAATGTTTATTTGTATAGACAATAGACGCGGAAACTCGGAATGTTGCTACACCCGAGTCTGTTAAATCCCGTGATCAAGTCCGCGACATCGTGATACTGGCACGCGCAACGCGAAACGTTAGCCGTTCGATGATTATTATTACGATTATTAATTACTGCATACCACTACCAATCGGTGGATGACGACGAAAGGTCAAACGATGGAACAAAAATGCCGACGCGACAACATATTTTTTCCTCTATAAGTGTAAAACTACTTAATGCAAAAAGAAAAAAAACTTATTACCTACTATTAACATTACTTAACTCGTAAGAAGCAACATAAAAAAATTATATAAGGAGTAATATATTATATATACATATATTTTTGGTCATTACGAACGTGTGCGAAGCGAGAACGAGCCAAGGCTTTTGTTGGCGCGCGTAGGTGGTGTTTTTCCACATGGCGACAATATTTCTATAATGTCGGTTGTTTCGAAGCCGGCGTTCAACGCGGACGCGTCCCATATTTCGGACGTGTCAGACACGGCAAAATGGGAGGAACGTAGAAAATACCGGAAAGCGATCTTCGTCGTTGAACATTGCCTACAAAGCCGCGAGTGATGTTTCTATCTGGACGATCAGCGCAACAACACGTTTAAGATTCACGTCTGTTGGTTTTTTTTTTATTTCTAGACAGTTTTTTTCTTCTTAATACACACGAAGTATGCGATTATGAAAGGTTTTAATACTTTTTAAATAATGTCAAAAATTTTAAATTGTTTGACATTAAAAAGAAAAAAAAAACATGAAAAGTGTACAAAAGCATTAATTTGCATTTGAAGTAATCTTAAAAATTTTTCAGCTCTTGTTATAAAGTTTGAAAAAATTTTTCTTACATTCCAAGTTTTCATTTTTATAAGCTTATATTCTTAGCAATCGTAGCGACGAGGATCGCGATGTTGGATAAAATCGTGGTCCAAATCCAGACAAAGCTAGAAAGATGCAAACGCGAAATTAGAACGTCGGATAAGAGAAACGGGAAGTTGAGAAAAAAAAATGGGATACTGTTGCAACACACGCGCGCCCGCTCTCGATTCGGTTTCTCCGATAGGTACCGAAAGCGCAGACGTTTTTCTTAAGCGCGAGACGCCCACTTTTTGATACGAATACAAATTTTCTACCGCGTAGAGGGAAAGAGTGGAAGCGAGAGAGAGAAAGAGAGGCTGCGGTTGCAGCAGCGCGAGCGTTGTATCGTTTCTTCGCGAGGGCAAAGACTCACTCGAAGTTTTCACTAGGAATGTTTTAATCTCTCCGTTTTTATTTCTCATCGGCTCCCGCGAGCGACATACTCATTGTGAACCAGTAGACTCGTCGTGACGGATTTTGGGCGGACACTTTGAGGATGCGCCTCGATCGTCCGTCGCCGGTTTGAAATAACGACGATATGAATAACGAACGAATGACGAATCGACGTTTCGAGCGGCCACACGTCTCTCTCATTCGGTTTTCTGCGGATTCACGCGCGGTCGTGCACGTTCAATTATGCCCGCGCGATTGTGATATAGAGAACATATTTGATAGTACGGTAAATTTTCAAGATTCTTGAAAATCTCAAAGAAAGTCTGAATTTTTATTAATTAGTAGTTATACTAAGAGATAATTATGCAAACGTTGAGATAAGGTGCTCAGTCAAAATTCGTCGCTTCGTTTGACGCAAAATTAAAACGATAAGTTGATTAGGATAGACACGATGTGATACAGAGATTCAAAAGTTCTTCATTTGCTACTATGTACATATGTTAAAGATTGCTCTGTTGAAATTTATATATAGATAAGTCTATTTTGAATTTGTATAGATTTTTGGAACATACCCTTATAGATAAATCTTTAAAAATCTTGTAAAAAATGAAAATTGAAATCTTTTCATTTCTCTAATAATGACGTGCACGACCATCGAGATATCTCGTCGCATCTCTCGATTAGAAATTCTGTTTCGTAAATGATCCGCGGATAGAATCGCGATAAAAAAAAGCGATTTCGTCATTCCGTTAATATAACAGACAGGATGTTGGACCAAGACGAAATCGACGGAGACGAAGGCCGGAGCAGGAAGGATCGGAGGCCAGACGAACGCGAGAAAACGGCGATAAAAAGAAAAATAAAACGGTGCTGTAGTGCGGGCCAGGATTTCCTATTTTTCTCGCATAGTCGAGCGTAGTCGGGAAAACGACGCGAACAAATAAAAAAAAAAAGGAAAGAGAAGATAGAGCAGCAGCAAGAAGCAGAAAAGGATGATCCACACGCACTCATCTCATGACTCTTTAAAAGTAACGACTGAAAGACTCTAGGCTGTACATAAAGTATAAGGCATGTATGTTCGGTGTTTTAAAAATGCAAAAATTCCTTATTAACGCAAAAAAAATTATACCTACGAAAAAAAGTAAACCATATAAGCAAGGCTACTCTCTCGGTGTTTTTTGGAACTAAACTTAAAATTTACCCTATTTAAAGCAAAAAAACCGTGAATAATGTAACTTTAAAGAAAGCGCGCGTAAACGCGGAAAACAAGTTATTGAGTGTAAACGTTAAGGTCTCCTTAGGGTTAAAAAAAAAATAACAAGCTGAACAGCAAAGCGAAATGCAAGCTAATTATGATTGTGTGTAAACGTAAATTTAAACCTTCCTTCGCCCTGTGTCCGCTAAGTCACTTTTTAACTATCCAGCACCTCACATCACCACCCCCTTACTTCCCCATTACTCTCTTCCTTTTCCTGCTCCTTCGCCTTCCCCCTTCCGCCCCTCACAGACACACCCTCGACGGAGTATGCAAATCACACGGTGTGATCTGAAGCTACTCGATGCCTCGAAATCTTTTTCTAAACGTCCACCAGGCATTTTTATGCGAATAGGAGGGAAATATGTTTATACACTTGTTCCGACCACTAAACTCACTCATCCTCCTCCC